CAAAGTGCTGGGATTACAGGCATGAGCCGCCATGCCCGGCTAGACATGGAGATTGTTAAGCCCCACCTGAGAACCACTACATCTGAAATTCTGGGGGTAGGACTCGCACTATTTTTAAAAGTTCTCCAGTGGGTACAGATGCTTGCTCACTTGCACTAACACAGAGAGTACCATAATTCCACACCCCAGGGATTGCATATGTTTTGAATCTGGAAAGCAGAAGTCCCTGGCTCCGCAGAGCCCCAGCCCTGATCCCCACCCAGCCCAGTCTTCCCGTGCCAACCCTGCTTCTGTCCTCTTGCTCATCATCTGGGCTCCCACGCGGGCTCCTTCTGAGTGCTGGCACGAATCTGGTCCTTCAGTGTAGGTGCTCAAAAAGTATGTGTTGAATGAGCAAGCAGCACTCACCAGGTTCATTTCTGAACACTCCCGGGATTTTGTGAACATGTGCAGTAAGAAACACCAGGGCAGAACCGAACGGGGATTAGGCTTGACTTAGAAGCACCGCGGGACTCCTCTCAGGGTCTGTATCACTTCCAGGGGATACAGTCTGACCTGAGAAATCTCTCAAAGTGCGTGTCATGAGAAGATGAGCTTCTACTGAGCAGGCTTTTTATTATTGCCCACTAAAACACAAGGTTATTAGAGTACTTTTTAATTAAATAATTGTTAGATGGAGTAGGAAGTAATGGTACAGGTTAATCTCAGGGTAGGGTTTTTTTTTTTTTGAACCCTCTAATAACTTCCTAAACATCAAGCATTTCCATGAAGCTAGCCAAAGTTACTTAATTATAGGCTTCATGAGTAAGTGTTTCTACAGAATTCTCAAAGGGCTCATCAGGCTCCTCATATAACACACGGTTTAGATGTTTCCACGTGGAGCCTATATACGTGCTTTAAAAAAATTTTTTTTAGAGACGGTGTCTCGCTCTGTTGCCCGGGTTGAAGTGCAGTGGCACGATCTCGGCTCACTGCAACCTCCGCCTCACGGGTTCTAGCAATTCTCTTGTCTCAGCCTCCAGAGTAGCTGGGACTATAGGCACACACTGCCACACTGGGCTAATTTTTTGTATTTTAATAGAGACAGGGTTTCACCGTGTTGCCCAGGCCGGTCTCAAACTCCTGAGCTCAGGTAATCCACCTGCCTTAGCCTCCCAAAGTGCTAGGATTATAGGTGTGAGCCACCACGCCCAGCCTGTGCTTTTTTATCTTAAGGCACAAAGCTGTCCAGAAGTACATGCCATGAGGACTTCAACACCTGGGAGCCAGCTGGCTCATGGATGAGGCAACAACCGAACTCAGTTGCTGGCATCCCCACCCTGCCCAGCCACCAGCCACTGCGGGGCCTGGCATCAGTTACATAGTGGCTCTCCTGGCGGGGGGGGGGTCCCTCCAGGCAGGTGAGCACACCCTGGTGACAAGAATGTCACAGCTCATCGCCGAGACACCCGACATCGCTGTTGCATCCCCTCACAGCTCTGAGAATCTCCCTTCAAAGTCCTTTCTGCAGGCAAAGCCAGGCTGGGTATTGTAACATAGCAGCCTGCAAGGCGTTGGGGCAAATGTGGGCACAGTGGACCGGCAGCAATGCAGCACCAGAGCCAAGCCCAGCATCGCCAACAGCAGGGAGCTCTCCAGGCTCTTTCAGTCTTGATGTTCCCTCTCTGCCTGGAGGCCGCCTCCTGAGTGCTGACAGACTCTCTCTCTGCATCTAAAACAGGACCCATGTGGAGTTAAGTGAAGCAGCATAAACAGAGTTGGGGGAGAACTCGGGGAACACAGGGGCAGCCTCCGAACCCACTCAGCCTGAGGCCTCCGAACACACATGGCCCAAGGCCTCCAAACCCACCCAGCCTGAGGCAGGGCCTCGGGATGGGGATTCGAGGTCCAGAAGGCAGGAGGTGGCAGGCCCTGTGCGGCACACTCAAGTCACCTGACATCGGCAAGCTCAGCAGAGCAGAGATGCTCGGGAACTATCACAGGGGCGCCCATGTGTGGCGCCTTAATACTGCCGAGATCACAGTCCGCTTGGACATGGTGACAACGCCACAGACCTGCTTCCCGGGAAAGGTCATGTGTCTCCCCTCAGAGGGGCTTCCCAGCCCTGAATTCGGAGCCCCGAGGAGCACACACACACACACACACACACACACACACACACACACAGCAGGACAGCGGGACACGTGTCACAAAACAGGCCTGTGGGGACACAGGAGGGTGAGCTACACCAGCTCAGGAGCCTGGGGAAAGCATCCCAGTGAGAGGCCCTGCGGAAGTGGGCAGAGAAGGGAAGACGCCCCTCCACCTCTTCACCTGTGGAAATGACTGGAATACCCACTGTGGGGCGGGGTGGGGGGGCGGTGGTGAGGGCGCATGGGAAGGGCTGTAGATTAGGAGTGGGTACACGAACAAATCACTGATTCCTTTCCAGTTCTCTCACCTGGTACCAGGGTTACGACCAGAGGCCTGCCCGTTTCCTCACTCACCCAACATCTGTCACCCAGGGACCACACACAGCGCCGTTCTCTTTGCCGGGCCGCCAAGCCTAAGGCCAGATCCCTGCCTTCCCGGGACTTCCGACGTGGCAGACAAACCAGTTTCCCCATTACAAAGAGGAATTGTGGGGCAACCCTTCCAACCTGGAGTTTCCCAAGGACACAGACAGACCCAAGGGCAAGGAAGGTGCAGGGAAAGGGTACCCTCCCAACTGGAACAGGAATGCCCAAAGCAGCTGGTCTGAGAGGCTGCTGCTGTCCTGGGTACAGATGGGGTGTGCAGCAGGATGGAAATCAGTCCTTTGCTCTCCCCAGCCCGCCGACTAGCAGACCACACTTCTGCATAGGCACCAGCCTCTCTGCCATCTCTGGTGGGATGAAAGGGATGGAAAGTCTAGAAAATTTGAGCATAGGTTACTCTAAATTCACAGGCCATGAACAATGAAGCCCGCCTTGGCCTGCACAACTGTAGCTGACCTCTCTGAAGAGGAGCTATAGGCCCAGCCTTCCCTCCGTGGATGTGGATGAGACAGAGGTATAGTTTCCTCCCCAGCACGGTTTTTGTTTTTGTTTTGTTTTGTTTTGTTTTGAGACAGAGTCTTGCTCTATTGCCCAGGCTAGAGTGCAGTGGCACCATCTCGGCTCACTGCAACCTCCACCTTCTGGGTTTAAGCGATTCTTGCAGCCTCAGCCTCCCTAGTAGCTGGGATTACAGGCACGGGCCACCACACCCGGCTACTTTTTATATTTTTCGTAGAGATGGGGTTTCACCATGTTGGCCAGGCTGGTCTCAAACTTCTGACCTCAAGCGATCCGCCCGCCTCAGCCTCCCAAAATGCTGGGATTACAGGTGTGAGCCACTGCGCCCGGCACCAGCATGCCTTGTATCAGAACCTCATCCTCGTTCATCTAAGGCTTTAATGTAAACGCACACACCCCTTGGGGTGGGTGGTAAACTTATGTCATTTTCACATTAGAGGACAAATGTGTCCTGAGAACAGACTTAATACGAAGCAGGACTAAAGGTGAGTGTTCTGAACAGGTTGTAGCAAAGCAGCAGTTGCTTTCTAGGCCCCCAGTGCAGGCAGGGAACGGTGGCAGAGCTCTCCTGGCCCCAGACAAGATGTTGTGCCCTAGTCTTTGAGGCGCTCCTAGGTAAGGATGCTACTGCTCTCAGTGCTGCCTGTCTCCATCCCAGGCGCCAGGTCTACCTTAGAATCTGTTGTTAGGCTGCCGCTGTGTGTCCTGCTCCATGCCTCTCAGGGAAGGCTCTCCTGACAAGGAGAGGTAGGAGGCAGGGGCCGTTCATCTCTGCTTTACTGGTAGAGTGAAGGGCTGAGCCACTACACTTCATGTCCTAAAAACACCTGCCAGGGATGGGGCTGGGAGGCTGGAGTGGTAGGTGATGACTTTCAAATCTACCTGGTATTAGGTTTGACAGGAAGTTGCAAGAGACCTGATCACCTTGTCATTGACATGTGCACTGTGATTTTAAACACAGAACCTCAAGATGCTCCATAGATAGTATATGTGAGTCCACAGTTCTGGGATAAAGCATCACTATCTTAGTCTCAAAGGCTGATAAATTAGGACAAACGCTAATGGTATGACAGTCTTGAAATCAGCACACTGAAATACGCAATCTTACTTTTTACTTGCCTAATGGTCTAACAAACTAATAGATTAATTTATCAACTTCTTATAGAAACTTCAGGAGAAGACTCCACGTAAGTAAATGTCAACGTAAAATATATACAGCCACCCAACAAGTGCTATCGGATACAAGGATATTTATTTCAACTTTATTTCTAAGACAAAATATCCACGTTCTTCTCCCTACTCCTCCCCAAGTCTCTTTAACAATTCTCTTTTTCTCTTTTCAGTGGAAGTGTATGTTATAAATGTGAGGGATCATAAAATATGATGAAAGGATAGCAGTATACCAATCTCTTAGCTGACTGTAATGAAAGCTAAAAAAGCCAGCCAAGTATGCATGCCACTGGCCTCTGTGTGCAGGCTCATATGTTCAGTTATCCTGCTCATCTTGTAAACAGTGGACAGGCGGAGCTGAGAGCAGTAGCATCCTTGCCTAGGAAGTAATTCTTATTGCCACACTCCCGAGGCCAGCAAAGGGCACACGGAGTTCCTAAGGGAGTTCTAGAACCCAAGCTGTTTCCTCTTAGTCAAGATTATCCGAAAGACAGTCGGGTGCGGTGGCTCACACCTGTAATCCCAGTACTTTGCAGGGGCTGAGGCAGGCAGATCACCCGAGGTTAGGAGTTCGAGACCAGCCTGGCCAACATGGCTAAACCCTGTCTCTACTAAAATTACAAAAAATTTAGCTAGGCATGGTGGTGTGCACCTGCGGTCCCAGCTACTCAGGAGGCTGAGGCATAAGAATAACTCGAACCCGGGTGGCAGAGGTTGCAGTGAGTCAAGATCACACCACTGCACTCCAGCCTGGGCGACAGACAGAGACTCCGTCTCAATTAAAAAAAAAAAAAAAAAAAAAAAAGGGAGGCATGGTGGAGGCTAAGACTGAACTCTTGGGCCACATTTTATAGGAAATTACAGGCATTTTTATAGATGTGTGGGCTTTAAATCCAGGAAGTATAACATGTGAAATCCTAAGCCTTGCCAACTTTTGCCAAGATGGGTCTCATTCTATTATTGCTGTCCTCATAATGGGGTGATTTCCATTCCGTGGAAACCAACTGATGCCAGCAGGAGAGGAGTGACACCAATTCAGGGATGGTGAGGACCAGCTAAGAGCATAAGAAGGCCTGGCTTTCCCACCTGCCCAAGGAAGGGTTTGGACTAGATTCACTTGAAAATCTGCGGGAGTGAAAATCCATAGTGTGAAAGGCACTGTGCCAGCCAGGCACTAAAGAGGGCAGAAATGGTCAAACCAGGACCGAGTCAGCCAGGGCTTTCCTATGTAAGAATACCACCCATGCGGTGTATGAAACAATGGAGAAAAAGCAACACGGCGTAGAGATGCGGGGGGATCCACCTCAGTCCCCATCCAGCTTCACGGAGAGCGCTGTACAAGCACAGCCGGAGCCTGCATAGATACTCCAGCGAGGCAGGTGCCTGGGGGCAGCTCTGAGTCAGCCATCTAGACTGTGCCTTGCCCTGCCTCCTTCGGGGGCTTGCAGCACTGTGGGGGCTCAGGGAGGGAGAATCCTGACTGATACAATTCCTGGCAACCAAAATCCAGTGGTCTCTGCTGAAGGTCTCAGTGCCCACGAGACCAGTAGCTAGGCTCCACTGCCAGGTGACGCTGACAGCAGGGAGGCTGAAGAGAGGAGGCGGAGGGAAGAAGGAAGAGCCAAAGGCAAGACTGGTGGGAATTAGGAGGGCCTGAGACTTAAAGCTATGAATGACCTGGCCCTCTTTTCCTTGGAGCCCTGCAGGAACAAAGTTAACATGCTAGGGACCAAATGCCACATGCCACTAAGGCCCTGGAAAATGGATTCTGTTGGCAAATACTGTTTGAGGGTCAGGCAAATAAGACCCAGTGTTTGTCTTCAAGGAACCCTCTGCCCAGTGGACTCATAGCAAATGAATTCTTAAGAGCACCAGTGGTAAACCAGCAAGAAATGCAATTTGTTCTCTGGTGCTACCCAAGATGGAAAATGGCTGTAGCCAACTGATGAGGCATTCTTCCAAAATGATAAGCTGTATTTCTACTCAGGTAAGGCAGAGAAAATAAGCCATTTGGGAACTCTAAAATCAGCACACTAAAACAACCTGATGAGGCTGAGTCTACACCTTGTACACAGGCGTGTACCTCACTAAAGGGTTAAGTGACCAGAATGAAGAGAGGGAAAATCTAGAAACTCTCTAGAGAAATCTAAAATGGTCATGTACAGTAAGTCCATGCCCCACAACTGTTCTTTTTTCTGGTAAAGAAAAAGAAAACTAAGAAGTGACCTGACCTGAAACTATTAGAGGAAGAAAAGCAACATTAGCTCAAAACTGAGCAGCAAGAAAAATATGACTACATTTGCCAGATAAAATAGGAAATCTCTGCAGCTGGAGTACTTCTGTGTCAGTCTACTCATCACATAACCAAATTTCTCAACTTAAACTGAATGTCATTGTCCAAATTCAGCCATCTCTGTTCTGATTCATAAACTAGTTTCGCAAAAAAGTGAATAACTTCATTACTTCTTAATGTAACATAACGCTACACTTTTAATTTAAAACAGTGTTCTAATAAAAAGGAAACATAAAGGTTCCAAGTGAGATTTTCAAGATACTGGAATCAAGATTGAAAATATATTTACAGGCCGGGCATGGTGGCTCACGCCTGTAATGCCAACACTTTGAGAGGCTGAGGTGGGTGGATCACTTGAGGTCAGGAGTTCGAGACCAGCCTGGCCAACATGGTGAAACCCCGTCTCTACTAAAAATACAAAAACTAGCCGGGCGTAGTGGAGCACACCTATAATCCCAGTTACTTGGGAGGCTGAGGCAGGAGAATCACTTGAACCCGGGAGGCAGAGGTTGCAGTGAGCCAAGACTATGCCAACTGCACTCCAGCCTGTGCGACAGAGTGAGACTCTGTCTCTAAAATAAAATAAAATAAACTTACAATAACTACCAATGATGACGTTTTTAAAAGGTCACATCTGCGAAAGAAGAGAAATACTGTGCTTGAATGTGATCCTTTACTTCCAACGGTCTAAGGGTCAGAATGAATCAAACCCTTGCCTTGCAGATACACAACTGAAAAGCAGCACGAGGTGCTCTAGGCATAGCTGGATGAATGAGACTTAAAGATCACATCTAATCATTTAGTGTAAGATACTCGCTCAGGACAGTAAGACCAAGCACTGGGGCAACAGGGCTAGTTTAGGGTTTTACTCCCACACTGATGATCTTTCATAGTCCATACACAAATCACCTCAGTCTTTTCAAATGTGATTCAGAATGTTGACTGTCACTCAGGAATCATAGAGTTCTTCTGGAAGATAAGGAAATATCCATCAAATGAGCCACGGTCTTCAGGAAATATATTACCAAGAGTGGAACACTATTTGTCAGGGGCATACAAGAGAAGTCATGAGATCCAGTTGGCCATATGCTGTCTGAACCTTTGTTTCATTTAATAGGTAATAACAAAATAACTAAAGATAGAATAAAGAAAAATTATCTTTGTATCTTAGTATGTTGAGTTTTATCATCAAAACTTGTAAAACTTCACTCTTACTCCTTCAGTTAAGCACACACAGTTACATTAAGTTACATAAATACAGGCAGAGGATACAAATCCATGTTCTTTCATCTCAGATATCCAAATATGTGAGATGTGGAACTATTTTTTTTATCAAGTAGATAATGTTTTATCAATAGCTGTAAACTATTTTTGTAAACTGTCTTTCAGCTGAGAAAACAATACACTACTTCTATCATATTGGAAAAGGAATGATCTCAAGGTTTCCAAGCAACACAGCAATTTTTCAAAGCTTAACTCCCCTGCCGATCATTAGAAATAGTTTCAAATGTCCTATTCTTGGCCTTCATTTGTGCCAAACCCTGGACAAGGCTGCAACAAGATTATAATTCCAAAACATCCCACTTCTGCATGGGGTGCTAAGCAGTCCCTCTTCCCTTTCTCTTAGCACACCATCATTCATATTCACTTTGGGTCTCTCCTGAATCAAGCTGTGTTTATGTTTTATAGAGGAAATGTGAAATCAAAGTTGTTTTGCTTCATCCCCTGCAGGGTAACTCCGTCAGATTCATTGCTTTGACTGCATACTGTCCTACGTTTAGAAACGCTGTGGTCTAAATCCTGTCCTCAGTCAAGGTGTGACACGCGTGAGGTAGGTGGCGATTACGGCCCAAGAAAGCTCAGTGCTGGATCGATACACTCAACACTGTGATAATCTTTAGTTGGTTGGTATTTGCAGAATGCATTAAACAAATTAAAGGAGGGTAAGAAATGGCTTATCTGGTGACAATGTAGAGTGGTATTGTTTTCTGCATCATCATATTCTTAAACAATTCCCAGTGATCTAAAATGCTGATGAAGGAAGGACAGAGTTTTATTTATTTTCACCAAATAGCTGGACATATTAAAAAGTTAAGGTAGACTGGAAATAAAATACAACTCCAACATGTTTTAAATCAGATTTGATTTTTTTTTAATTCAAATTGACCCAAAGCAAAACTTACATTAAAAAGGAAGAACAAAATACATTATGATATAACACACTAGGAGTTACATGAAAGCTAAATTTGTGGGCAAATGGCCTTATCCCAATCACATTCTGGGCTAATGAGCACTTCTGCAGGAAAGTTAGAATCTCAATTTCGTATGGTCCACGCTGGTCATTAAACTACACATTCTCGTCTCTTAGGGTGTGCATCTGACAAATCATGCTAGACTCCCTCATGCTCCAGATGTGCACTCTTGCTACTGCCAGAACACTGAATTCTCTAGTGGAAATGCTGTTCCAAGCATGACTGATAATGAATTAAAAAACGAAACAGTCAAGTCCTCCAAACTAACAGGCATGGATTACTGTGTAGTAAATAGTTTAGAAATATGGGAATTAAATAATCTAAAAAACACTCTTACTCTGCTGTACATTTATAAACACAAATATTTACAAAAAAAAAACAAAACACAAAACCTTGTTTTCGAAAGATGAGGTTTACAGTTCATTAATGATCATAATCTTTTATGAGCTGGTTTCTTTGGTGTATTTGCCAAATATATTTTTATAAAGGTTTAGTAATAGGCTTAAATAATAAATTTCAAAGGAAACATAAAAGAATCTGACAAATTTGAAAATATTCTGAACATTTTCTGCTCTGTCTTCTGGAAAAAACAATCAGTTGATTTTTCTGAAAAGTTCTGTTCTCCCTATTCATTATGTGACCACGGAATGCTTCTCTGTCAATCCAATTCAAATGCAGACCTGCAGGTTTCACCACTATAATCTACCAGTAACCCACTTGGAGACATTTTAGTTATTGTGAAATGTGATTGGGATTTTATTAACAACAAAAATAAAACATTCTTTTTAAGCTTCCAGATAAATCAAACCTCAAACAATAAATAATGGAATTATACACTTCTTCATTAAATAGAAATTTCAAAATTCCAGGAAGAGCTCTCATAATTTTTTTCTGAAGTCACAGCAGCAATACAGAACAAAGAATTTACCTTAATCTGATCTTTTTTTACTTGGAATTCCCTGACTCAAACTCAGTGGCTTAGTTTGGAAACCTCTGAATGGCTGGGGAGAGAAAATCATTTTAAACTAGGTGAATAAATTAACACACACATACGTGGAAATAAGCCCTGTGCAAGTGTAACATTAACATCACTGCTCAGAGTGCAGAAACTCCAGGCACCCCTCTGCCTCCTCACATCCCTGGGCCTGGGGTTTTAGGGAGAAGTCACACTCAATTCATTTCTAGCCACACCATGTCCCTAAGACTGCTAGTGTGTCCTAGCCCTGACCTGGGTATTGGTTTAAAGAATGAGAATATAGCTTGGCAACTGTCTTCACAGGGGACTTTCTCTGGAGATAAATTTTTGGAATATTTTTATGGAAAAAAGGACAGACTACTCGTTCCTATCCATCAGGCTCCAGCTAGTTTGGGGATGGTTATAGAACTGGCCACACTCAGACTGGCTGCCTGCGAAACAGTCTATGCCAAAGAGTCTATGGGTCACACCAGTAATCTCCCGAATAATCCTTTTTTCTGAAGCTGCCCGTCTTTGGAAACCTGTGCAATGCCTAGGCACAAGCAGATCGAGTGTAAGACGCCACAACTACTCTGCACCCAAGAGAACAAACACTGTGCTTGAGAAAACAGCACTGCTGGCTCTGAAAAAGGTAAAGCCAGAGACAACTCCTAATTCTGCTTAGTTACACTTCTGGGTGAAACAGTTTTACGCTTTATGACTTAAATCTAGAAATTCAGATGAGAGAAGCCCTTCGTCTTGTAAACTTCTGATAACAAATTTATTAACAGTGTGTGAATATTTTTTCCCAAAGCACTAAAAACGATACTGGGACATTTGAAAAGGTTCTTCTGAAGCTAATAACACAAATCAAGCACAGAATACATTTCTGAGGGCATCATCTTAGATGCCTAATGCCTCTGGGACCTTTTCCATTGTTACTGACACTTATCATATCCGTGTTTACACAGCAAACAAATGCCCAATCAACCCAGAAAATAATTGTCCTGAAGAGCCTCACTGTATATAACCTTAAAATAGGAAATGTTTAATTAGCATATTAGAAATTAGCCAGACTTACAAATGTGTACCCCTTAAAGATTTTACCCTTAAAAAGTTTTTTTTTTTTTTTAAACTGGGAGAAAAAGAAACACCATGAAGCCATTCCAAATTATTGAACCATTAAAGCCAAATGATTTAACAATTTTTAAGGGAAGACTCTACCACCAGGATACAAAATTTTCTGCTTAAAGTGAAGTAAAAGACATAGCTTAAAATGGAAATTGCAACTGACATACTATGGTTCTGCCATGAAAATTAAAGTGGCGGCTCCTGTTCTCACGGGCATGTCAAAGCTGGCTGTGAAATGATGACCAGCAAGTGAAATAATGGATAAAATACACCAGAAAGAGTATTGCACTGCAGGCACAGTTTTAAAAACAGAATACACTGGCTTCAATTAAAGTTAGTTTCTTTCCCATTAATTTTTTTAAAAGCACAACTCTAACTAGAGATAGAAATCGAGACACAATGTCTCAGGGTAGTGTACTACAGTTGTTAAAAAAAAAAAAAAGTTAAAAACAAGAGCACACCAAAAGAAAAGCAGAGATACTGAATTTATGTCATCCGAAAGCTACATCAATTAGGAAAAAGAACAGTTTGAAACAGCCAATTTATACTCATTAAAAATGAATGAGGTGACAGCATTACTTTAAACATTTCTTAGGGCATTTTCCAGAAGAACCCAGGGCCCCCCTGGGTGAAACTGTGCCTCCAAACATTAACAAGTGCTCTGCTGGTTTAGAATATCGTGCTTACCAAGGAAACCATAAATTTGGAAAGGGTAAATTCTCCACTCCAAACCTGCTTGTGTCATTTAAGAAAAGACAATTTTTCTAAATGCAGTATTGTATACAAAGCTTGGACCTCTTAAACTTGGACCAAGAAACCAAATTAAGACCTTCAAGCATGTGGTGTGTGTTTTTATATATATATAAAAAAATCCCTTCCCTACAATGAAAACCAACCAAACAAACAGAAAACCCAAAAGTGTATACCTGCTTTCTGATTTCACAGCAAATCAGAAATTGCATAGGATATACTTTGTGCAAGGCAAAAAGCCTTTTAAGTATCTGGAATATAACTCCTAATCCTGCTCACAGTTCTGGTATATCAGATATCATCAAATTTGTGTTTTAAGTAGTCTTTCATGACCTTGGCAATTGGTAGTTCATCAAGTAGCTTTAGGTTTTGAAGGCCTATACATTGTCGAATTTTAATTCGGCACAGGTCCTGCAAGTTTCTGGGCTGTCCTAAAAAGACAGAAAAAAGAGAATGTTACAAAGCCACAAAGCACAATATTTAAGGCACTTTTGAAAAGAACTGTTTATTTCACTGAGAAGTTCTCTCTACGGACTTTACACGCAAAGGCCCGGAAAGATACCAACTCAAACAAAGTGTCCTAGGACCTTCATGCAATGCCTTATTTGATCTTTTTCACAACTCTGGGATGGTGGATATTTTCACCTCCATTTTACAAATAAGAATACTGAGTATCAGATGTAAACAAGCTGCTTAATATCAGACAACCAATTAAGGCTTTAGACTGAGACTAAAAACAGTTCTGATTCTAAGCCTCATATCCTTTCTGTTACAAATCAGGAAAACTCTGGTTCTTGTCCTGATTAGGTCTCTCTCAGGCTGGGTGAGCCACTGTGAGCCAATCATTGCTCTGAGTCTTGGGTTCTCAATCTGAAAAGTGTGGGGACTGAATGAGATGTCCCCTATTGTGAGCCTCCCTTTCGGCTCTGGGTCTAGGACACTGGAGCCCCGAAGTCCACCATGGTCTCTGTGGAAATTTCCAAACGAGCTTTCCAGATCTGCCCACCTGTTTTCCGTGATTCTGAACATAGCAGAACCTTGGTTATAAGGCTGAGAGTTGAGGAGTGCAGCAGGAATGGGGTGTGAAAAAGCACCTCAAGGTATTCTGAATCTACATCGATTCAAGCTTCTACACCCTGATCATTTGCCAATAAAAACTCCTGTTATATCTCAATTCAAAAGAAAAATCACAAAATCCTATTTCTTTCCCTTTGGAATATTTTGTTTTACAAAAACAATACAGATGGCTCCAAAAACAAGCAAGAATTCTTCGACTGCGCTTCAGTAGTGTTTGGAGTCCAGGGAGTTTTGCTTTCATATTAAACATGATAATAAAGCTAATATATATTGAATACTTACTCTGTGCCATATATTGTGAAGAGGAAATGACATGTATGAACTCCTTTCATCCTTTTATGAGGGAAGTACTTTGATCATCGCCCCCATTTTATAGAGTCTCAGAGAGATTAGCTAACATGCTTAAAGTCAAGTTGAATGCCATATTTGTCATTCTCAAACTTTTTGGTTTCAAAACTCCTTTACACTTTAAAAAAATTATTGCAAACCCCAAAAAAACTTCTATGTGGGCTATCCCTATAGATAAATGCCATATTTTAAGTTAAAACAGAAATTTTAGAAATACTTTTAAATTCATTCTAATAAACCCTTTACATGTTAACATAAATAACACATCATTATGAAAATTAACTATATTTTCCAAAACCAAAAAAAAATTTAACAAGAAGAATGTCATTCTTTCACATTTTTGCAAAGCTTTTAATGCCTGGCTTAATAGATGATAGCTGAATTTTCATATATGCTTCTGAATTCAATCTGTTGAGATAAATCACACCAATCACACCACCTCGTCTCTGGAAAACACTGACACTCGTGTCAAAAGGAATGAGAAAAAGGCAAATCATATCTCAGTGTTATTATGAAAATCAGGAGACCTATGGAGAGAAAGCAAAGTCCGAGATTAGACTGCAGCTTCTCGCTTACCTGTGCAGTGTAATTTTGAGCTGTCTGTTTGTAGTCCTGAGATACAGGAGCTCCCGTTCTCAGCCTACTAACCCATATGTTTCTGTGGTCAAGTCTTGTGTGCACTCCCTGCCATTGCTCAGCTGTAAACACACTTCTACACTGATCACAAGAAATAGGCCATTGATGATGATGTTCCCTTCTCAGTCACTGCTGTCTCTGAAAGTGATGACTTTACTAACGTCATCAATAAATTACTAAAGGACAGAAATGAGTTCCACAAATATATGGAGTTGATTTCCTTTTTAAGGATCAGTTTCTGCGAATGCCCTTGGTCAAACACATGGAACAGGAGAACATCTCATTAGAAGAAGTTGTGGAAATAGAATACGCGGAGAAGTATACTGCACCCCAACCAGAATGATGTGTCCATGATGACTGGACCAGTTCAATTTAAGGGACAGAGGTATGGATCTTGACTGGTTTGGATCTGGTCCTTGGAAGGAAAGTCAACATTGACAACTGTGGGACACATGGATGTTGTAAAAGATATGGCCTGGGTGATAAAACACAGTTTGTGTTATTACTGAGCGCCTCTATGGATCAGACTATTCTCTCATGGGACTGGAATGTTGAGAGAAACAAAGTGAAAACCCTACATTGCGGCACAAGTATAGATTCTACAGCTATTGGTAGCTCAGCAACTAAATTTTGCAGTGGCTCCTGGGATAAGATGCTAAGGATCTGGTCTACAGTCCCTACAGAAGAAGATGAAATGGAGGAATCCACAAATTGACCAAGAAAGAAACAGAAAACAGAGCAGTTGGGACTAACAAGGACTCCCATAGTGACCTTCTCTGGCCACAAGGAAGCAATTCCCTCAGTGCTGTGGTCAGATGCTGAAGAAATCTGCAGTGTACCTTGGGACCATACAATTAGTGTGTGGGATGTCATGTTTGGCAATCTTAAGTCAACTTTGCAGGAAAAAAAGTGTTTAATTGTATCTCCTATTCTCCACTTTGTAAATGTTTAGCATCTGGAAGCACAGATAGGTATATCAGACTGTGGGATCCCCAAACTAAAGATGGTTCTTTCATGTTGCATCCCTAACCTCACATGCAGGTTGGGAGACATCAGTACAATGGTCTCCTACCCATGAACCACAGCTGATTTCAGGATCCTTATATAACACTGTCAAGCTGTGGGATTCAAGAAGTCGTAAGGCTTCTCTCTATGATGTGGCTGCTCATGAAGACAAAGTTCTGAGAGCAGACTAGACAGACACAGGGCTCCTTCGAGTGGAGGAGCAGACAATAAACTGTATTCCTACAGATATGGGGGACACGAACACGAATAATAATTTGATTACAGAGATTCTTTCTATAAATGAAACTGGTAGAGAATCATGAAATTACATTGATGCAGATGCAGAAAGCAGCCTTTTGAAGTTTATATAAAGTTTTCACCCTTCATAACAGCTAACATATCACTATCTTTTCTTATTTTGTATTTATAATATAAAAGTTTGTGTTTATAGAACAGAAACTGTGGCTTGCATTCTCTATTAAAAACAAAAAAAAAGAAAAGAAATCATTTTGACCTCACAGATACCCCAAAAGGGTCTTGGGGACTCCAGGGTCCACTAGACCATACTTGGAAAACTATTCTTGTACTTTATCCCTTATATCCATTGTACTTGCTTACCGTGATCACCATTATTCAAAATGAAGTACTTCTTCATAAATGACAAAGGCTGACTTAGACCTCTGCTCTGTAAGGCCTGTATGAACATATGCTTTTCGAGAGGTTACGTGCTATGTGGTCTCTTAACAGAATGGCAGCAGAAGTGACTGCTTTCTTACAAATGTCTGCAAACTAGGAATATGTGTATCCACAGATGTCTGTACATGGATCTGTGCAGGGATGTGACACACACACTCATGTGTCTCTTGGGAGGATTATGTCTCCTCCACCTTTCAGATCTCTGCCAAAATAGCACTTCATCACAGGAGACTATGTCAGGATTCACCATCAGATACTCCCAGAGCTCCTTTCCTTTATAACATTTAATAAGGTTGTGAGTTCACATTTATTTGGTGATTATGTGTTAATTAATGCCCATCTTCCTCACTATATGACATGTTCCATGAGGGGAGGACCATGTCTGGCTCCATTTGCCAATGTAAACCTGACAGCTGACACAGTATTCAGCGAATATTAGTTGAATGAATGCTTAATAGGGTTGTCCTTAAAGTATAAAACAGTCAACGCAAAACACACCCAGGTCAACAGCAAATCATTTCCAAGCCTGTTTTGAATTGTTTTTCAACACTATTCATGGGCTACTTTAGGAAAAGAATAAATTATCATTGTCATTTTTCAGGAAATGCTTACAGTATTTGATCTGCAAATGCAAACCGGAATGTGAATTAGATCTGAATCTTCTTTCTTTAAAGAATTTGATTTTCCTAATAGATGATGGGTTCTTTTTAAGTATTATTTATTTATTTATTTATTGCGAAGTAGTCTCACTCTGTTGCCCAGGCTGGAGTGCAGTGGTGCAATCTCACCTCACTGCAACCTCCATCTCCCAAGTTCAAGCTATTCTCATGCCTCAGCCTCCTGAGTAGCTAGGATTATAGGCATGTGCCACTATGCCCAGCTAATTTTTGTATTTTTAGTAGAGATGGGGTCTCATCATGTTGGCCAGGCTGGTCTTGGACTCCTGGCCTCAAGTGATCCAGCTGCCTCAGCCTCCCAAAGTGCTGGGATTACAAGGCATGAGCTGCCATGCCAGGCCCTTTTTAATACTAATAAAAAGAACCACCACAACATATTCAGGCAAAAACAGACGAGGAACGAGTTTACATATGTGTATACAGGCATACTTAAATGAAAACATCATGCAAAAAATGGTAAAAACTAAATTACTAGAATTTGCTTAGCTAAAGTAAAAAAGAAGGGGCTGGCCGGGCGCGGTGGCTCACGCCTGTAATCCCAGCACTTTGGAAGGCTGAAGTGGGCAGATCACAAGGTCAGGAGATTGAGACCATCCTGGCCAACATGGTGAAACTTTGTCTCTACTAAACAAACACACACACACACACACACACACACACACACACACACACACACACACACACAAATTAGCCAGGCATGGTGGTGGCACCTGTAGTCCCAGCTACTCAGAAGGCTGAGGCAGGAGAATCACTTAAACCCGGGAGGCAGAGGTTGCAGTGAGCCAAGATCGTGCCACTGCACTCCAGCCTAGGCAAGAGTGAGACTCTGTGTCAAAAAATAAAAAAAAAAGAAGGGACTGAGACAAAAGGTTACGGAATGGGGGATCTGTTGACATGGATTTGTTTTGTGACAGACTTCTCTCCAAAGATGACCACATTACCTCCTATCTCTCATGCCTTTCCACAATGAGGCTGGACACTCCTATCATTAA